GGTTACTTATATATGAAGAATTATCAGGTTGGCTGGAAAGATTTTGGACATGAGTGTAGAAATTTCATTCGTATAGAGAATGGAGACCATGTAGCTAATCCAACGTGCAAGTAGTTGTGGATTGCTCTTCCTAAAACGCAGGATGGTACGAGGCAAAGCAGTTCCTCGGTTTGGACGCGGGTTGTAAAATCTCTTTAAAAGTGGCGAGTGAGATCCGAGACGGGATACAGTAGATCTGAACTCCACGAGGACTGAAGGAGAATCGTCCAACCACATTCGTTGAGCTTTGACTTCTTTATCTTGCAGCATCTACCCTCTGGTTGATCGGGACAAATTCGTTTCTAGCAAACGATGAGTGTTCGAGAGAATAGTTAAAAAAGCTTAATCAGAGAATCATCTTGCTAAATTGCCAAAAGATTGGGCTTGTTTCGTTGTAGCTCAAACAAATGTGATACTCAGTAATGTCCAACAATTTTCCAGCTTTCAATAGTCAGAGCCTTTTTTGGTTTGTTTCGAAAATATTCCGAATACATGCATACCTACAATATATTTTAAAAAATACTCTATTTTTCATATTTAATAGTATTACATTTTTTAAGGGAAAATCCCCCCTCGAAATTAGAGCACTTGCTAGGCAGGTTGCGAATGAAGCCATTGGAAAACAGATGAATTCTTTTAGGTACGCTTAGTTATATCACGTTTTCATATTGCCTGAGCGTTTCTGGTAAAAATTCAGTTGGAATTTGTGACACTTTGCTTATGACTTTATCTTGCTGTAACTTCATTCCTTATCTATTATCTATTAATCTCTTTGAAGCAAATGTCTTGCATTCAAGGAGATGGGGTGTCTCAGCTGACTGGTCCAAACCCTACCTCACCATGGATCCGTTGTATGTTTCGGAGCAACTGCGGCTTTTTGCAAAAATGGTCGAAAAGGGTTTAGTATATCGAGCCTTCAAACCTGTCTACTGGTTAGTACTGCAAATCCTTCTGGCTTGCAATTATCTGCGTTAAATAGCATAGAATTTAGTCATGCTTAGGTCACCAAGCTCCCGTACTGCACTTGCTGAGTCTGAGTTGGAGTACAACGAGAAGCACGTGAGCACATCGGT